TTGTACAAACTATAACTTTCCCACGCGGTCTCAACGATAGGAACAGTTTTGTACCAACTACCGCGGGAGGGGGTGAAACTGATCTCAACGAAAGGAATTAATTTCTACCAACCATAGCCCTCCTCGATCTCTTATCGTGATGAAATATATTGCCTTATATCTTCAGAACGGATTGTCGGAAGAGGGTACTCACAAAGGGCGATTGGAACGTCTGGAAGAAATATATCCACTGGTGATGTCAAAACTTTAGAAGCGAATATCTAGAAAACGGTTTGTCGGAGGAAAGTACTCTCAAAGGCAAAATGAATCGACTGGACGAGACATATCTATGGGTGAAGTCGAAGCTTTCAGCGCAAATATATGCAGAATGGAGAATCGGGGGATTTTGGATGTATGCCAGGCGGCTTTTAAATGTTTATGTGTAAAGAGGCTTTTCCCCATTAATCGTCTAACAAGCAAGTAAACATCGATAGCATGCTACGACCTTATAACCCGTATATTATTTACTAAGCTATTACGGTTTTATAAAATGCGATTTATCTGCACAAGAGTTGTGAATAATTTATACTTGTTTTGGACCTGCAAAGGTTTTCAACTACAGCATAATTCTGAACACATCGTGAAGTACTAGTATTTTTCAGAACCTCCATTTTCCAAAATTTTCGTTCTGTTTAAACAATTTGAGGACTCAATTTTCCAAAAAGTATTTAAACACTACTATAGGAGTGGATCTGGAAGAACAGATAAAATGCCCATTTATACGCTCTAAACCTTAGGGAGGGTGGTGACTGGTTACAACCTTATTAAGGAATGATGAGGATAGTGATTGGAGTTTTATTAGTATCTATTTCAGTGTTCGAGGTCTCATTCCATTTCAAGGCGCCACCCTGTATTTGGCGAGATGCATAATAATTCCATCGACCACGGTCATTGTACTCAATTTTATATTGCTCCACAGTGGAATAAAGCTTCTTGCACGCGCATCTTTAAACGTATGGCGCGAAATAAATATTATTTCCGAAATTCTACTACTAATCGCGCTTATGAAATCTGAATCGCTACTTGGCTTTATTATAGTATAGGTACTAGTTAATAAGGTAGCTGTACTCGTTTTCATCGTACCTTAAATGGTGGGTGCTACCTTATATAACCGATAAATAAAGAGTGCATCGAATGTAGGTGTAAAAACCAATTGTACACATTCTA